TTCCCTCAACAACAGTGCCAACATCTTCAGAAACAACGACTGCAGCTGAAACAACAACTACACCATCTATAACTACAACTGAGCCTTCTACTACATCAGCGTCGACAACAACAGAATCAACAACAGTTACTTCAACAACAGCGCAAACATCTTCAGAAACAACAACTGCAGCTGAAACAACAACTACACCATCTATAACTACAACTGAGCCTTCTACTACATCAGCTTCGACAACAACAGAATCAACAACAACACTTACTTCAACAACAGTGCCAACATCTTCAGAAACAACAACTGCAGCTGAAACAACAACTACAACATCCATAACTACAACTGAGCCTTCTACTACATCAGCTTCAACAACAACAGAATCAACAACAGTGACTTCAACAACAGCGCAAACATCTTCAGAAACAACGACTGCAGCTGAAACAACAACTACAACATCTATAACCACAACTGAGCCTTCTACTACATCAGCTTTGACAACAACAGAATCAACAACACTTCCCTCAACAACAGCGCCAACATCTTCAGAAACAACGACTACAGCTGAAACAACAACTACAACATCTATAACTACAACTGAGCCTTCTACTACATCAGCTTTAACAACAACAGAATCAACAACAACACTTACTTCAACAACAGCGCCAACATCTTCAGAAACAACAACTGCAGCTGAAACAACAACTACAACATCCATAACTACAACTGAGCCTTCTACTACATCAGCTTCAACAACAACAGAATCAACAACAACACTTTCCTCAACAACAGCGCCAACATCTTCAGAAACAACGACTGCAGCTGAAACAACAACTACACCATCTATAACTACAACAGAGCCTTCTACAACATCAGCTTCCACAACAACAGAATCAACAACACTTCCCTCAACAACAGCGCCAACATCTTCAGAAACAACAACTGCAGCTGAAACAACAACTACAACATCCATAACTACAACTGAGCCTTCTACTACATCAGCTTCAACAACAACAGAATCAACAACAACACTTTCCTCAACAACAGTGCCAACATCTTCAGAAACAACGACTGCAGCTGAAACAACAACTACACCATCTATAACCACAACTGAGTCTTCTACTACATCAGCTTCAACAACTTCAGAATCAACAACACTTACTTCAACAACAGCACCAACATCTTCAGAAACAACAACTGCAGCTGAAACAACAACTACACCATCTATAACTACAACAGAGCCTTCTACAACATCAGCTTTAACAACTTCAGAATCAACAACAACACTTACTTCAACAACAGCGCCAACATCTTCAGAAACAACAACTGCAGCTGAAACAACAACTACAACATCTATAACTACAACTGAGCCTTCTACTACATCAGCTTCAACAACAACAGAATCAACAACAGTGACTTCAACAACAGCGCCAACATCTTCAGAAACAACAACTGCAGTTGAAACAACAACTACACCTACTATAACTACAACTGAGCCTTCTACTACATCAGCTTCGACAACAACAGAATCAACAACCACACTTCCCTCAACAACAGCGCCAACATCTTCAGAAACAACGACTACAGCTGAAACAACAACTACAACATCTATAACTACAACTGAGCCTTCTACTACATCAGCTTCGACAACAACAGAATCAACAACAACACTTACTTCAACAACAGCGCCAACATCTTCAGAAACAACAACTGCAGCTGAAACAACAACTACACCATCTATAACTACAACAGAGCCTTCTACTACATCAGCTTTGACAACAACAGAATCAACAACAACACTTACTTCAACAACAGCACCAACATCTTCTGAAACAACAACTGAAGGTGAAACAACAACTACACCCTCTATAACCACAACTGAGCCTTCTACTACATCAGCTTCAACAACAACACAATCAACAACAACACTTTCCTCAACAACAGTGCCAACATCTTCAGAAACAACGACTGCAGCTGAAACAACAACTACACCATCTATAACTACAACAGAGCCTTCTACAACATCAGCTTCCACAACAACAGAATCAACAACATTTACTTCAACAACAGTGCCAACATCTTCAGAAACAACAACTGCAGCTGAAACAACAACTACACCATCTATAACTACAACTGAGCCTTCTACTACATCAGCTTCGACAACAACAGAATCAACAACAACAGTTACTTCAACAACAGCGCCTACATCTTCAGAAACAACAACTGCAGCTGAAACAACAACTACACCATCTATAACTACAACTGAGCCTTCTACTACATCAGCTTCGACAACAACAGAATCAACAACAACACTTACTTCAACAACAGCGCCAACATCTTCAGAAACAACAACTGCAGCTGAAACAACAACTACATCATCTAAAACTACAACTGAGCCTTCTACTACATCAGCGTCGACAACAACAGAATCAACAACAACACTTCGCTCAACAACAGTGCCAACATCTTCAGAAACAACAACTGCAGCTGAAACAACAACTACACCATCTATAACTACAACAGAGCCGTCAACTACATCAGCTTCGACAACAACAGAATCAACAACAACACTTACTTCAACAACAGCGCCAACATCTTCAGAGACAACAACTGCAGCTGAAACTACAACTACATCATC